GTATTTCCAACTTTAGCAGAACTAGATGATGCTTTTCTATTAGCTGTATTGCGTATACAAAAAGATGCTCAAAAATTACTTGGCGCTGAGTTAACTGCACTAGAAATCAGGCAAAAACTTTATAATAGCCAGTCACAAGAATTCTGGCTGGTTAATAATTTCGATGCTTTACACGAAGTTATGTATTATAAAATGAAAAAAAATTTATTTACCAATTATAAAGATCAATTAACAGCTGCTGGAATAGAAGTTACAAAAAAAGTGGATACAATGCAATTACTAATTAAGACAATTATTGATGATAACAACAACAACAACAATGATATGAATGGTAATAATCAAATAGATTCGTTGGAATTTAGTAATGATCATTATCAAAATAACAATAATAATAACAATTTTATTGATTCGCGAATTTCAACGCTAATAACTGCCGATGATAACGATTATTATAATGACAATGATAGTGATATTTGTGGTGTAGGTAGCAGCAGCAGCATTTGTAGCGAGTTTAATAATAATGAAATCAATTATGGTAATACCAGATAAATAATAGTGAAAGCAGTTGTAGTTATTTTGGTAGCACAGTTGGTGACAATTACACTTGCAGTAATAACAATGGTGATGGTGATGGTGATAAGAATAGAAACAATGACACTATTGAATTAATAAGAGAACAATCTTCATTTTATACTGAGACACACCATAAATTTCAAAATTATATAAAGAATTTTATTTGTAAAATTGATTATTCGTATTTAAAAAGTTTAGGAACAAAAACAAATCTATTTATTATAATAGTGTTGATTATAATTTTTTTTAACGACTTTGGTGGTACAAATTATTATTATCAACAGTTTACTACTGGTCATCATCAACACAAAGGGTCATTAAATAATGTTCAACTTCGTGACAAGGTAAAAGAACGAGTTATAAAGTATGCTGAGCAAGAGATTTCAAAAAGAACTCACAATTTAGCCAACAACAATAATAAACCGAATGATCTTATTGGTTTAGTTAGAACACAAATATCTGAGGTAATATTATATTTAAAAGTGGTAATAATAGTTTTATTAATATTAACATCATTAATTGATCAATTAATTAATCAATTAAAAATATTAGGAACTAGAAGATAAGTTAACAAAGATTGTTCATGGGTCAAGTACTGATTATGCTTTATTTACAAGTGGTGCACAAATTATAAGTCAACTAACATCAAGAGTTTATCAAGAATGGCCAAGAAAAATGCACCAGAAACTATGGGGTTATTTAACACATCAAAACATTATAAAAAGTCGTGAACCTGATGTAGTGTTAAAACCAAATACCAATGTTGGTGAGTGTTGGTGTTTCAATGGTACAAAAGGTCAAATTGCCATAAAATTATCTAGAAATATTGTTTTCACTCAATTGGCACTATATCATATTGGCAGAAATGTTTCAATTGATCCAATCAGTTCTGTTCCAAAAGATTTTGAATTGTGGGGATTACCTTCAGACAATGAAGAAGATGTTAAAAGAAAAAAGGAAAATGTTGTTTGGAATGATGATAATGATAATAACATTAATATTAATAATGATGGTGATAGTGGTGTCAATAATCATATTCATAATAACATCCACAATCATAACATTCATCATATTCATAATGATAGTCATAATAATGACAGCAGTAGTAACAGCAGCAGCAATAACAATGATGATGATGAAAACAAGAACGATTTTAAATCACTCAAGAGAAAATTTTTTAAAATTAAGGATTCAGTATATTTTTAGGCCAATATCAATATGATTTAATGGGCAAACCATTGCAAATATTTCATTTGCCAAAATCTATTTCAAGAGTCAACAATAAACGCATTCAAGCTATAATGATGAAG